GGCGGAGGCCCGCCCGGAGGAGGAGGAGGCCCTCCCGGAGGAGGAACAGGTGCGCACCCCGCTTGCCTCGTTGTCCCTTGTTTGTGCTTCCTGGGAGGCCCTCGTCGCCTCCGCCGGATTCGCCTCGACGTGCCAGTCAGAACGTAGCCCCAGGAGAGGTCCGGTCCAGGGAGTAGCGATATTGGTAACCCTTCGGTTTCCCCAGGCCCTTCGCCTGTTCTGGGTTGGCGGCGAAATCCGAATCCGACCCTCGCCGATCAGCCGATTCGGGCAGCTCGGTGGGCGGCGGGAACAGGGCTCGGACTTCGTCGGACACATGGCGAGCGCTGAGCCCTACCCCCGCCCCCCATCAACTCGAGAGACTCGGAGGAAGGAGTCGACGGCTGGTGGGGGGGCAGGGTTCGGATGTCGCCACCGATGGGAGGAAGGAGTCCTTGGTTTGCTAATGGGGGTCGGCTTCCGCGCGGATTTCTGGGATCGGCGCTGGGCCCCCTTGGCGGCGCCTCCAGCGCCGCCCGCGAGTCGACGGTTGGTGGGGGGGGCAGGGTTCGGATGTCGCCACCGATGGGAGGAAGGAGTCCTTGGCCTTTGTGGGCCCGGGAAACGGCAGGGCCTTTTTTTTACTGTTTCCAAAAAAATGTCCCTTGAAAATGGAAACGGCAAAAAACCGGCGACGGGAAACGGCAAAAAGACGGCTCCAGGATTGGAACCGGAGCAGGAACCGGTCAAAAAACGGCGGCGGAACCGGTAAAACAACGGCGTCGGAACCAGCGAACAAAACGGCAAAACGGAACCATTGAAAAAACGGCCCTGTCGTTTCCAGGGCCCACTAAGTCCTTGGCTTGCCAAGGGGGGTCGGCTTTCGTGCGGAGTTCTGGGATGGGCGCTGGGCCCCCCTGGCGGCGCCTCCAGCGCCGCCCGCGAGTCGACGGGTGTTGGGGGGGCAGGGTTCGGATGTCGCCACCGATGGGAGGAAGGAGTCCTCTTGGCATCGCTCGGACGTGTGCATTTTTCCTTCGGCGAGGACCATCGAGGAGCATCCTTGATGATTCCGCGAAAAAACCACGCACGAAACCGAGAAAAGCACAGGAAATGGACGTCCGAGCGATGGCCAGTCCTTGGCCTGCCAAGGGGGGTCGGCTTCCGCGCGGAGTTCTGGGATGGGCGCGGGGCCCCGCCCTGGCGGCGCCTCCAGCGCCGCCCGCGGAGCGCGCCGCGCGCCGGGGAGGGGGGCCCCAGCGCGGTGTTTCGAGAGATCTGCGCGGAGCTCCCTAAGGGCTTATCGACTTTTCGCCAATCGACTTGTGGGAGTCGAGCCACATAGATCTTGGCAAGAGCAGATGAATCGAGATACATCAGGGCAAATCCAGGCAAATCGAGATACATCTGGATACATCCAGATAAATCCAGAGATCTCCAGGGAAAGTTGGAGCAATTCGCGGCCGCTACAGCGCGAGTCGAAGGACGGCAGAAGTCGTTAAGCCTTTAACGAGTAGAAGCGCATGTTGATCCTGCGTTTTCCTACTCCAGGAGAGCCTTCGTCGCCACGGCTGGATTCTGTTCTGGGCCCTGGTCGGGATGCAATATAGCCCGCACAGCGAGGATGCCCAACTATTTCCGAGGTTACCCCTGCATCCTTCCCCTTCGGCCCATCCTCTGCCGCTTTTGCTGGCCGCGCCCGGCTCGCAGAGTATCGACGTGGCCTGCCAAGGCCCTGGCCCACTCATCGTGCGTCCTTCTCATACGGGTTGACTGTGGAAGCGTATGTTCATGACGGCTTTCCTCTTCTAGGAGAGCCCTCGCCGCCACGGCGGGACTCCCCTCGGGGTTTTGGTCGGGGAATATACGCACAAGGAGAGGTGCAGGCCGTTCGAGGCTGCCGCAGATGCGCCAGTCAATGCCAGCGGTGACATCTTGGGAGGGGGCAAGACCGGCAATGGCACGCCGCCGCGCTTGGCTTTTTGGTTTCGGCGGCGAGCCCGAGGGGAACGGAGAAGGATAAGGCCTTCCCAGAGGGCTCGGAAGTCCCCCTGGCCCTCTGAGAAGATGTTTAAGCCTTCCCCGAAGACGCAGACAATTTCTCAGAAGGCGCGAGGGCTTCTGAGACGTCCTGCCGCCTTCTGAGAGGATGTTCTCCTGCTCACTTCCCCCCTCGCTCGCCGCCAACAGTTGTTCCCAGCCATCCTGTGTTGTTGGGTCCTCGGTTTGAACAGGCCGCGCCACGCTCCACCTTACCTTCCTTTCCCCCTCCTTCATCCTGCTCCTGCTGCTGCTGCTGCTGCTGCTGCTGCTGCTGCTCTCCGCATGTTCATGTCGGCGCACTTCTCACACGCTTCGTGGCCTTACGGGTAGCTCCAGTGAAGGCCCCCAAAGCGCTGTGTTGCATGCGGTGTTCCACCCATTTCGGCACTCTCACACGTTTGGCGACCCCACTGGGAGCTCCACCTCCGGTCCCCCAACCGTGGTATTGCATGCGGTCCCCCACCCATTTTGGTACAATCGCCGCGTTTTGCGGCCCCACATGGAGCTCCGCTGAAAGCCCGCAAAGTGTGGTGTTGCATGCGTTTCCAAAACTGTCGACACACCCCTCACATGTTTTCCGGGCCCACAGGTGTCTCCACCGAATGTCACCAAAAAGTAGTGTCGCATGCGGTTCCCCACGTGGTTTGGGGTTCCCCACGAAATGCGGCACATTCATCACACGCTTCTTGGCCCCATTGTGGTCAGTTTTTTTTGTTGTCTGGCATGTGCCGAGGATCTAAGTTGCCTAATTGCGTGAGTGCTGGTTGTGGCAACCACGCTGCCCACTCTCCCTCTTCATCATCCTCCCTTTCTTCTCGTCCCTTCTCGGCGCTGCGTGTAGTGGATACCATTGGCCATTCTGGCCGTGGGGGATATCCATCTGAACGCAGAGCCAATTGCATTGCCGAGTTGTTGCCCCAGCCACGGTTCACAGCATGAGTTTGCCTACTGCAGGTCGGTTTGTGCGGTGCTCCTGGTTTGTCTAGCCACGATTTTGAATCGCGATGTGGTAGGGTTACCAGTGATGATTTGCGCACTTTTCACACGTTTCGTGTCACCACAGGGAGCTGCACCGAAGGCCCCCAAAGAGTGGTGTTGCATGCTGCCCCCCACCCATTCCATCCAGGGAGCTCCGCCGAAGTCCTCTGCATCGTGGTGTTGCATATGGTTCCCTATTTATTGCGGGACACCCCTCACACGTTTGGAGGCCCCATAGGGAGCTCCACCGAAGGCACCACAATCGCGATGTTGCACCTGGTTCACAGCGCGCACATCCCTCACGCGTTCCGTGGCCCCACAGGGAGCTCCGCCAAAGGTCCCAGTGGCAGGGCCCGCATGCGTCCCCGTACCAATTTCGGGGCCCCTCACACGCCTCGGGGCCCCGTGGGGAGCCCCACAGAATGCGGTACTCCCAACGCGGCACTCACAATCGCATAGTTTTAGGCCCTTCGCAAGGATACTTCCCAACCGTCCTGTGGTTTTGGGCCTTCATTGTGAATACACCTGCCGCGCCACTCCCCGTCCTGCCACCTCCGCAGGCCCAGTTCGGCACACCCCTCATAC